AAGGCTTCACTTCAGTCAAGGAGGGGGCAGAGCTGCTGCCTCTCAGCTCCCAGGTTCCTTGCTGAAGGATCTGCACACAGGTTGGTGAGCGCGTGGGAAGGAGAGGCCAAGGTGGTCCTCAGGTCACTTCTGTGAGTTCACACCCCAGGACAGTGCTGGTGAGGGCAGGCGGGGGCCACCCTGGCCAGGCGCAGCTCGGTCACAGGGATTCTATCTCGCGGGGGCCAGGCTGGGAGAGGCCTGTGGTGTCCCTGGCTTCCACCTGGGAAGGTTGGGAGGCCCATGGGCAGGCCGAGCCCCCTGGTGCATGTCTGTTCTGAGCCTCAAGTCGTCTCCTTGCCACCTACAGGGCGGGAACACCACCCAATTATATAGACCAGGAAATGACATCCCCGAGACAATTTGGGACATCCCGGGACCACACTGGAAATGCCAAGGCCTTCTGATGCCAAAGTTCAGGTGGCCTTGGCCAGAGTGACTGGTCATAGGGCCAGGACCCTGGAGAGCTCACAGAAGTTTTGGGGTTCCCCAGCCCCCGCAACCCAGTCAACAGTCTTTCAAAAGTAGCCGATGTTCTGATGTGTCCCGGGGTAAGGGGCCCTGGTGGGGAGTCCAGGAGGGGTGGTGTTGGGAGGCCTGGGCGGGGCTGGGATGTTGGGCTGCCTGTTGGGCTGCCTGCCTGAGGGGCCGGGATCCCACCTGTGAGCCCCAAGGCAGGGCCTGTGACCGCCTCCTTGTGAGGTAGGAGTAGGTTCCCAGGAGGCTGGAGGGGGAGGCCCAGCCATCCACACAGCCTCAGAGAGGAGCCAAGGCCTGGGACTAGGCCCGTCAGGCTGTGGGAGAAGGGGAGGAGGCGGGGGAGTGACCAGGTCACTCTCATGAATATTTGACACTTGTCTGTCTGGGAGAGGGTCTGGCGGAGCTGTCAGGAGTGTTCAACAGCCGCCCTCCTCTTGGCCCCCGAGGCTGCGGGCTCTGAAGAGCGGGAGCCCTGGGAGGCCACCCCGTTGCTCCTTGCCCAGTGCTGAGAGGTGACGGAGGAGAGCTGGGGCAGGAGGAGCCCATGAGTCACATCCCCTCCCCCCGTGGCTTCCTGCGGAGTTTCAAGAAAGGCCATTCGGCCTGCCCCACCTGCCTCCTCCGCTCCTCCTGCGCTGGGCTTGTCCCTCCACTGAGGGGACACTGATGCCCCTGCACTGGACACTTGTCCTGTGGATGCTCAGGGGCTGGCTCAGGAGTCTGGTTCTGGGAGCACCCCCTCAGCCTAGGAGAACCCCTGGGTCCCCGTCCCAGCACTGCTGTGTCTTGGACTTGGGAACCTTGTCCTCTTGGAACTTATCCTATAAATTTTTTTTTCTGTTTTCAGATGCATTTATTTTCTTCTTCCAAAAGAGGGTGGGTCCTGCCATGTGTCCACAGCTCCTCGTGTCACAGACCCTGGCACCCATGAGACCCTCACTCCTCAAACTCCACAGGAAAATCCAGTGAGAACGTGGGTAAAAGCCATGCAGATAGCCCTCCAGTGGAAGGGGACATGGAGATGGCGATGAGCCCCTGACCACATGGGCAGCTCCATTAGACTCTGGGATCTGTGAGCAGAGCCACCCAGAGAACCATCTCTTCTCAATGGCCAAGATAAAAAATAGTGACAGCATCGAAGGTCAATGCGGATGCAGGGACCCTGGACCACTCCTTCCTCTCTGGTGGCAGGCAGGACCCTGTGGCTCCTCTGAACAAGGGCTCTGCAGATTCTTAGAAAACTGAAGACGCATCGACCGCCCAACCCGCCCATCCCACTCCGCGTCACTGGTCCAAGCAGCTGGAAATACATGCTCCAGCACTTACACACGAGAGTTTGCAGCAGTTTCGTCTGTAAGAGCCCTGAACTGGAAACCTCCCAGGTGTCCTTCCGTGGGGGACGGTTAAATACACAGTGGTGCGTCCATGTCACGGGCTCAGCATGAGAGCAAACAGCCTGGGTGAATCTCTAGGTTGCCAGGCTGGATGAAGGAGGCCAATCCTGAAGGTCACGTGCTGTGTGATTCTAGTTATGTGACATTTTGAAATGGCATTTTAGAAATGGGGAACCGATTAGAAGGCCAGGGGTTGGGGACAGGGAGAGGCAGGCGGGAGAAAGGGTGGCTGTCAGAGGGCAAGAGGAGGGGTCCCGGGGGGCAACACTGTGTGCCTTGACTGTGTCTCGGACTTGGGAACCTGTGCAGTGCGCGCACGCGTGCACACACACACACACACACACACACACACACACAAATGAGTACAGGCAAAACCGGGGGAATCTGAATAAGATCTGGGACTGCATCCCGTGGATACTCCAGCTGCCATATTGTACTAGCTTTGCAAGATGGAAGTCAGGTAAAGGGGTTGCAGGACTCTGTTGATTTCTCACCACAATCAGATCAATAAAAATTCAAATTGCAAATACTCTCATAAAAAAAAGAGTATTAAAAATACAAACGGAAATAAGGCCTTTGATAAATACCCATGAAGGGCAAGGTGATGACCCTGATGTTCTCCTGAATCCACCCGAGTGACCTTCACTCCATGGGCTCCTGCCTGATTCTGCCTCATTTTAACTGGTGACAGAGTTGTCATTGTCCCCAGGCCCCAGGATGGCCAGGGCAGGGTGGCAGAGATTGATGAAGCCAGAAGACCTGGGTCCAGGGGATCCACAGAGTCCCCAAGACCATGTCCCAGAGACAGCGCCCAGCAAGGCTTACGAGATTCCCTCAAGGTGGCGCACGCCTGTAATCCCAAGGGCTTGGGAGGCTGAGGCAGGAGGATCGCGAGTACAAAGCCAGCCTCGGCAACTTAGCCAGGCCCCGAGCACCTCAGTGAGACCCTGTCTCTGAATACAGTACCAAGAAGAGCTGGGGATGTGGCTTAGTGGTTAAGTGCCCCTGGGTTCAATCCCTGGTACAAAAAAATAAATAAATAAATTTCCTCAAAGGCAGAGGCTGCAGGTAGCCGGGCAACTCTCTGCCGGTCACCCCAGAGCCAAGACTCACAGGTAGGCCAGGGGCAAGTCTAAGCTTCCTTCCAAGTCCCCCTGGCCTGTGGGGGTGGGGGAGGGACCTGGGCTCCCCAGAGCAGGGTGACACACTGCTGTGTGCTGGTCTGGGTTACGTGTCAGGAGAGGTCACTCACTGAAAGCTCACACCAACACAGTGAGGTTCCTCAGAATTACACACCCTCTTACCAGGCCCACCAGGCCCCCAGGTATGTGCTCTCCCTGGCTTGACAGGAGCAGCACCAACCTGTTTAATGTCCAGACTGGGGTTGCCCAGGAGATGCCCCCGCCTGGCATGAGAGGTGACTTAGTGCCCCTCCAGCTCCCCCTCACCACCTCTGTACAAAGAGGGGGCCTGGCCCCATCAGGCCACGCAGGTGGAAATGGGACGCAGTTGATGTGTTTTTGTGGCATTGCTGGGTCACCATGACAGCTGTCCGCTTTCCCTTGACAGTACTGACTGAAAGATGCCCCTTCAGCTGGGCACAGAGGTACCCACCCAGCTTGGGAGGCTGGGGCAGGGGGATTGCAAGTGCCAGGCCAGCTTCAGCAACTGAGCAAAGTTCTGTCTCAAAATAAAACTTAAAAAAGGCTGGGGACCGTGGCTCAGTGGTTAAGTACCACTGGGTTCAATCCCTGGCATGAAAAAAAAAATGCCCCTTCCAGGGAGTGTGTTAGAATTTGAAATGCCAGTTAATTAAGAAAAAAAATAACTCGCACATGGTGAAGCATGTAAGGCATAAACGGCAAAGGCAGATGTTGTGGCTTGACTATGATTCATCCCCAAACCCATGGAGCAGTTGTGTCCCCAGAGCCTGACGTTAATGAAGGGGTGGGCTCTTAACAGGACTGCGTGTGTTTAGAGGTGGGGCCTTTGACAAATGGTTAGGTTAGATGAGGTCGGTGGTGTGGGGATATGATTGAATTGTTGTGGCTTTATAAGGACAGGGAGAGACCCCAGACTCAGAAAAACACATACACTCCCCCCATGGTGTGATGCAGCCTAAGGGACCCTCGTCAGAGCCTGCACCCTGCTTCTCTGACTTCCAGCTCCAGAACTGTGAGCTAAGTGAACCTCTTGTCTTAAAAAGGCAGCCTGCCTGAGGTATTTTGTAATAGTAAGTGAAAATGGACTATCACAGGGGAGGACAAACAGGCTAAGAAGCTTGTGTTTCTCATCCCGGCTGAACCTGGCCCAGCAGTGACCCCTGAAGGTCTGAGCTACCCCACACAGTGGCCACAGCCACATAGGATTATTGAACAGGTGGTGTGGACCTAGTCCAAACTGAGAAGTGATATTCCGTGTAAACACACACTGGGTTTCAAATATTTGTGTACCGGAAGCAAAAATAGCTCATTAATAATATCTATAGAGATTACCTGTTGAAAAGACAGAGTTTACACTGGTTTCCAGTTAATCAACCTGGCTGGGGGTGGGCTTCGGGCCAGTTGGTACAGTGTCAGACCACTGAGTGCAGAGGGAAGAGGTCTGTGGTCAGTCAGACTGGAGGGCTGACCTCAGGGGGCCTGGAACCTGGGACCCTCACGACCCAGCTCGGTTGCCTGGACAGAGTCCACTGCCCAGGGCCTCCCCAGTACACCCTGGCTGGTTTCTGAGTGGTTAGGTGAGGCGTGAACACAGAGCCCCAGAGGGAGACCACCACGGCTCTCCACCCTCTGGTCCTGCGTCAGGCCGCTGCCCAGGACAAGGGGGAGAGGTCAAGGGCATGGCCAGTAACAGACTTGCTGCCCTGGGCAGGTGCTTGCTGGGATCTGCTGGGAGATTTCCACCCCTTCGGGGGCCTGCCCACCTGTCTCCCCGTCCTCAGGGGCGGCAGCAGCGGGCTGTCTCGCCGCTGTGGTTGGCTCTATTTCCATCATGCGGGACAGATGGCGGGAAGCAGTGGTGGGCGATGTGTCGTGCGGGCTCCCAGGTTTGGGATGGGGAGGCTTTGGGAGCCCCAGCTCGTCACCCACCCTGGGAATAGACAGATGAGGGCCGGCAGGGGGCTGAGACGGCCGGGTCCCCACAGCCACAGGCACATTTGCACACCCACCCACGTGCTGCACGCCCCTGGCCTCGGCCCTCTCAGAGCGCTGGAGCAGGAGAGGCCAGACCTGCCGTCCTGGCCTGAGACTGCCAACTTCTCCAAGGCACAGACTCCTTCACCCTGAGAAGGGGGCATCGCATTGACCCAGAGTTGACCAGTGGGGCTGGCTGGCCTTCCCAGGCGGTACCCAGCCACCAGAAAGCCATGGCGTCAACACCCCACCTCTACGCAGCCCTCAGCTGAGCAAGCTGGCAGATGATCTCCTTCATCCAGGTGGGTGATATCTCCTCAGGAAAATCAAAAGCGCTTGGCACAGAGAAGCTGAGCAACTTGTCTGTGGACACACAGCTAAAGGGTGTAGGGAGCAGGGCTGAGTCCAGAGAAACGGGGCGGGGGGGCAGAGTCTCGGCTAGCATCTGGCTGCCCTGAGTGCCCGTCCAATAGCACTGAGTGTGGGGTGTGCCATCAGTGGCAGAGGGACTTGGATCTACTCTGGTGGCCACCCACTGCCCATTGCTGGAGGCAAGGATGACAGGCAGAGCTGGAGACCAGGCCAGCAGTGCTTCATCCCCTCTGGCAGAGGGGACAGCTGGGCAGAGAGCTGAGGCCGCAGATCCGAGAGGGGAGACAGAGCCAACCGAGGGGAGGGACAGGGCCCCTTCTGATGTCCTCCTATCTCAGCTGAGCTCTGTCCCCCCCACCAAGCTGGCACCTGCGGTCCCCTCGGTTCCTCCCTGTCACGTGGCTCTGTGGGCTCCAGGACGTGGGCTGAGCACAGCTGACAGACACACCTGTTCCAGGGAACATCAGCTTGCTGGGGCGGGGGTGGGCACCACAGTGAGTCAGGTGCCTCCCGCCTGCCCGGGGGCTGGGCCACCAGGAGGGGCTGTGCCCAGCCTCTCTGGTCCCTTCTTTCTCTGCTTTGGAAGGCAGGGGTGTCCTTCCCCCTCCAAGAGGCCATTTCTGGAACCCCCAGAGAAGCCTGGTGGTGGTCTGCGGGAGCAGGGGGCTCCAGCCTCGGCCTCTGAGTAGAAAGGCAGCTCTCCACTCCCGTGGAGGGCTTTGGAGAGCAAAGGGCGGTGGGGTTTAAAACCCTGGGCTCCTCTCCGTCACACTCCTGAACCCTCAGCCCAGAAAGGGGAGGCAGGAGCCAGGCCCCAGGACTGGGAGCGGGCAGCTTCCCGGTCACCTGGGTAGGGGCATGCCCTGGCCCCCTGAAGTCTTCCCCTGGAGCCGGAGCCCTGGGGCCCAAGCCTGAGAATGAGGCAGAGCGGGGTTCAAATCCCAGCGACCACGGCGCTTGCCAGGCAGCACGGGCCTCTGCTTCCTCATCTGTGAAACGGGAGCAGAAGGGAGGGGGGAACTTCAGAGCTCCTGCCCCTCGACCCTGGCCTTCTCCTCCACGCCACCTGGACAGCAGGGCCACTTCCTGACCTGCGCTCTCAGGGGCTTTGGAAACCAGGGAGCAGTTTAGGACCCATTTTGCACAAGTTCCTGCAAGAAGGCTGGAGCCGGGCAGCAGAGGTTCCCGGGCTGAGCTGGGCCTCCAGGACACAGCCCCCCAGAGCCCCAGGACGGCACCCGCGCCCATCGCGGTGAGCCCAGCCCAGGCCCCCTGCCTTCTCCTAAGAGCTGGTGGAGTCCATGCTCCTGGGGACCTGGTGCTGTGACATATGATCCCCTTCTGGGCCTCAGTGTCTGTGGGCTGGGAGCGGCAGTGCCCACCCCCAAGGCCGAGCCAGGGCTCGTGAACGGGCAGCTGGGGAGAGCAGGGAGCAGGGCAGGGCAGGGCTGGGGGCAGGGGCTGGCGAGAGTGACCAGAGGAGCCAATCCCCTGCGGGTGCTGACGGCAGACCCCGCCGCCCCTGGAGAGGAAGGTGTCGTGCCCCATCTCCAGCGGTGGCTTCCCCGGGAACCACTGCCCCTGCCTGGCCCAGCACCCAGGGGTGTGGGCTCCACTCCTGTCCCTGGCCAGGCCTACACAGGAAGGCCTCTGGTGGGCAGAAGGACAGTGAGACCCACAAGGACCCAGGCGCTGGTTGTGGGGCGGGTGTAGGGCGGGAGAGGGGGCCACAATGGCCAGGAGAAGGGCCAGATGCACCTGCAGGACTCGGGGCACTCACTCTGCCCATGTAGGAGGGACAGTGGTGGCCACGCTCCAGGGGTGATCTCCAGCAGTAGAGGCAAGGGGAGGGGGACCATCCTCTGTGGGTGGACAGAGCTGGAATGCACATCTGGGTGCCGCTGGATGGTAGGAGTCCCTGCCTGTGGACGCTGCGTTGCATGATCTCCCGGGGCTCTGTCCTGGGGCTGCGGGAGCGTGTGCTGGTGAGGCTGTAGTGCGCACCAGGCCAGCCTTCACGCCAACCTCGGGCCACGTGACCTGGGCTACCCACAGCACGGGTGGACAGGGAGCCTCGGTAAAGCCTGAGGTTTCTCCGCGTCTGCTCTGCCCTCCTGGCAGATACTGGGGACACTTGAGGTGACAGGAGAGAAAGCAACTTTTCAACGTTCATTGTCACCATGCTCAAAAGCTTCGTGTCATCACCTCTGCTGATCCTCCTGGTGTCCCTGAGAAACAAACTGGACAGGGCCGGGGCAGCCTGGGCTTTGGGACAGTGTGATCTGAAGCCAGCCTCGAGCCCTCTCTGGGCTGCTTGTCCTCTTGGGTGGGAAAGGCAGGAAGCCCTCTCTTGGGAGGCGAGATTAAGAGATGCCAGCCCAGTATTCATTCTTTCTTACTCACAAGACCTTGATTTTATTTGGGTCCTTTTGTCCTTCCTTCTTTATCCTTACTTCTACCTGCCTGTGCTGGCTGGAGCGCCAGCAGCCATGTTGGGCAGGGAGACAGATGGAGCCTGGGTCCCTGCTGACTGGTGGGGGGGCAGTCTGTGTCAGCCCTGTATCACCTCCCTCTTGACATCTGCATGAGAAAAATTGCAATCAACCTTTCTGTTATTTGGGGGTGATCTGAGCAGCCAGACCTAATTCTGGTGCTTCTTCTTTCCTTCAGAGCAAAACTGTCCCGCACCTTTAAGCGGCTGCAGGGCACTGGACCGCATTTTCTGAGGGTCAACTCTGGGCTGGGGGCTGGCTCACTTTCCTTGCCTACAGTTAATTCTTCCTCCTTGCCCCCCTCTACCTTTATTTCTCGACCCCTGTGTCAGGGGTTTCCCTCACCTCCTCTCCAACCTCCCAGCAGCCGCACCAGAGGGGACAGCTGCTCTGGGTCCTTGGTAGAAGAGGGTACTCGTTAGCTACTGAGCAGTTAACCGGAAGATGCACTCATTGGCCCTCCTCCAAGCACCAGACACCCCTCCTGTGTCCTGCCTTCCCTGACCCTCAGGACAGTGGAAGCAGCTCCCGGCCGCCTGACTCCTGTCCCCGGGACCTAACTGGGCAGGACCAGGCACAGGGCTGCCCTCCAGCCCTGGTCTCAACGTCACCTTAAAGGGGACAGCAGAGGATGGGTCATAGAAGGAACCTCTAAGAGGATCCCCGGTCCCGAGCAGTCCCCAGAAGCCCCACGTCCCCTCCACCTCCCAGGCGAGCCCTCGCCGGCCAGCGCCTACCTTGTCCCGCTGCATCCCGGGTGCTGGCGGGAACTGCTGCTGGCCGCCCCGCTCCCCAGCCCAGGCAACCAGGACTGCCCGGCGCGGCTGGCAGCTGCCTCATGTTTGCTTGGACCCAGACGTAATTGTCACCGGTGGCTTCTCCCCCGCCCCCTGCCCACACCCCTACCCCACCCTCCCTCCCTGCCTCCCAGCGCTCCGCCCTCCTGCTCCCCCTCCCTCTCCCTCTCCCCCTCCCTCTCTCTCCCTCTCACGCACATGTGCACGAGTCTGTCTTGCATCTTTCCGGTCCCCTCCCAGGCTCTCTCTGCACATGGCTTCAAATCCTGGCCCCTTGTCCTGTCCTCCAGGTCATGTCCCCTCAGGTGTCTGTCCCTGACTCACTCTCTCTCTCTCATCACCCCTTTTCTTTGTTACCAGGGGAGGTTGCAACTGGGGGTGCAGAGGGTGCAGGGGGTGCCCTGGGTCAAGGAGCAGCAGCTGGTGGGAGCTGTTCCCGGGGCAGGGGTCCTGTCCCTCCAGGGGAGCTCTAGGAGCCTCTTGGTGGCATTTTCCAGGCCAGCCCCTCCCTGTCCTGCGCCCCTCCCCTGGGACACAAATGTGGAGAAGCTGGCCCCGGCTGCTGTGGCTCTGTAGGGGGGCTGGCCACCAGGACAGATTAACAGCCCGGGGCAAAATCATCAGGGTGACACTCAGGAGTCCTTCCATCTCTTTCCTCTGTCCCTCAGGACCCTGAATCACCTCCCTGTCACCCTGCTAATCCTTGCAGAGTGGGAGTCTCCCCGGAGCGTGGACTTTTCCTGTTTCCCAAATACCATTGAGCTGGCTGCTGGCTCTGAGGTTCGGAGAGCATTCAGGGCAGCAGAGGGACCTCACCAGATGCTCTGGGAGGAGGGCAGCGGCAGAGGAGAGGTGAGGGCCCCCGGGATCCCTGGGAGAGGGGGTCTTACTGCCGTTTGCAGGGGGCGGGCTCCCTAGCTTCTTCTCAGCCCTGGGGAAAGCACCCAGGAGCCGGGTGCCTGAAAGCTCTGCCAACTTTCCCCTCTGGGTGCCCGGAGGAGCCCGCCTGTGCGGTGCCTGTGGTTCCCATGGCAACAGAGCCCTGGCCGCCCCCTCCTCTGCAGTGTGCTCAGGAGCTCGCAGCCCTCCCCACCCCCCTTTTTGAGCCAGCCAATTAGCTTCAGTGTTCAGACGCTCCAGGGGAGAAAACAGCCTGGAGCTGTTGACCCACTGAGGCCAGGAGGACTGTCCCCAGATGGGGGATGACAGTCCAGGTGTCTGCCAGAAGCTCCCTGAGGATTATAAGCTGGGCAGACCCCAGACTTCCAGTCCCAGAGCAGCACTGCCTGACAGAGGGGAGCCCCTCGGCAGCTGGGGTGGGGACCAAGCTCCCTGCCTCAGGGACAGGGACAGCCCTGCCACTCCTCCCAGCCAACTTCCGGAAGCTGGGTCTGATGAGCATGCTGTCTTTGTGGGGGCCTTGGGAGAAAAGTGTCTTGGTTCCACTCTGTGATAATGCCAGGAAGACCCGGAAGAGTTAAAAGGTCGGCCAGTCCCGGGCTGGTCAGTGGCGGGGCCAGTGAGTACAGGCTACTCCTTTACCCGACGGAGCGCGGGGGGCAAGACCTGCCTGGCCCGCCAGGCGCCAAGTCCCACCATCCGCCTGGACACTTCCTCACCTACACACAGGCTGCAGAACCAGGGCCACAGCAGCCGTCCCCAAGTCACTGACCTTCCCCTGCTCAGAGGCCCTTCCTGGGGATTCGCGACCTGCACAGAACAGGCGGGGCTCCCCTCTCTCCGCTGGGCCATGGGGCAGGGGCAGGGGCATGGGGGTGGTGCAGGTGGCAGTGCTCTGGGAACTTGCCCTGCAGCCCCCTGAGGTGGGCGTCCCCCATGGGACACAGAAGTGGGTGCATGTGCCCTTTCAGGGTCCTTGTGTCACCACACTCTCTTCCTCCTCTGGCCCCCAAGGGGGTCTTTCCATGTCTCCAGGCACTGCCCCCGGGGTCTCTCTGCTGGGCCTCTGGAGAATAAGAACGAGAAAAGACCAAAGTGTGGCTCCCCACCTGGGCCCCACAGACTCCCCCCAAGACTCTCAGAGTGGCCGCATCAGCCCTGTCCAGGTGAGGGACTTCCCTACTCTGCCCACAAGTCTTGGGGTCTTCTGGCCCTTCCTCAATGTCTGTCCATAACCCTCTGCCTTAGGCCCAAGTTCAAGTCCCTCGTCCCCAGGCCCCCTGGTCTGTGGAGCCCCCTGCCCCTGTCCTTTCCTCAGCCCTTGCTCTGCTGGGCCCTGGCCTAGGAGGTGGAGGAGAGAGACAAGTGCTGGGTCAGAGTGGGCTGTTCCTCCCCCGGGAGCCCCTGCCTGTCAGCAAGGCCCAGGGCTGGAGGGGGCTCACCGTGCACATGGAGCCCCTCTTTACGGGAGCATTGAGAATGCCTGAGGCCCCCAAAGGCCCCTGTCCGGGCGCTGCAAACTCAGGAGTGTCACATGACTTGAGCTGGTGCAGCTGTGGCTTTGGAACCTACCAGAAGCATCTTAGTGGTATCTCCTGAAACCTCCTCTGCCCACTGCCCTCCCAGAGCCCTAGGGACAGTTGAGGCCAAGGGCACTTCTTGGTAGGGAAATACAAATGGCCGTCTCTTGCGTCACATCACACAGCTTGGCCCCTCCCGTCCACTCTCCTGTCCAGGGTGGGAGTGGTGGGAGGTGCGCTGCCCGCAGGGCTGTGCTCGGCCTCCAGCTGACCTCAGCTTGGCGAGGTCGCAGACTCCACCTCTTTCTCTTTGGGGGCGCATCCAAGGGTCTCCAGAGCCCGGCCCCCCCTGCCTGGATTCTCAGGGACCAAGGAACCCGCAGTGCCCAGTGGCAGACTTGCCTTCTCTTGGCGAAGCTCTGTCCCTTCTCCCGGTGGCTTCTGGGACTGAGCGAAAAGACCCCGTGCCGACTGTCATGAGGGCCTTCATGGAGGCCACCCGTCCTTTTCATAGCTCTGCCACCAGCCACCAGCTCATCTCCCACCTGCTGGACTGTGCAGGCGAAGGGCCTTGACATCAGCCACTGGATTTGTTAAACTGCACGGGGCCCGGACCCGACCTCAGGCTCTCAGGCCCCCCTTCCTTGTGGCTAGAAGGGCCCTCCTCACCGTCCCCCAGGGCCCAGTTCACACCCTCTAGTACCCCTCCTCTAACCCCAGCCCCTGGTTGCCAGCCCCCATGACCCCCCCATATCCCCTCCCACGTGTGTCACTCAGGCGCAGGTCAAGGCTCGGTGGGGGTCTCCGCCCCGGGCATACCCCACCTCCCTCCTCACCCAGGGCTCTGAAGCTCAGTCACCATGTGTAGGACAGAGGACTGTAAGGTGCTGTAGGATGGCACTCCAGGACAGCCAAGGGAGGACTGGGGACCTCCGGAGGGGCTTGGTTCAAGCAGCACATGGTGTGGGGAGCAGGCTGGCCACCAGCCTCCCGGGTCAGTCCCTGGCATTCCAGCCTGGAGAGGCAGGGCCCAGGGAGAGGCAGGCCCTAGGCGCTAAGCAGAGGGCCCTGGCTCTAGCACGTGGGAACAGGGACACTGTCATTCTGAGCAGGGCCACAGATGGTCAGGCTGGGCGCGGAGGATTCGGAAGGCCGCCATCACCGTGGGTGCCTTTGGGTAGGTGGCGCCCTTGGTACTCAGCCCCCGTTCAGTGTCCATGCTCTGGTTTTCCCAACCAAGTAGCTAAGTAGCGCTGGCCACCTGGTCATTAGTCCAGGTAAGTGTGCAGCACACTCCCTGATGGATACTCAGCTCAGTGAATACAGGTGAAGTCACATTGTCCCAGCCCCATCACGTGGCCCTCCTTCTGCACACCCAGCCACTGCTAGGGACCTCAGATGTCCTGGCCCACGTGGCGTTTCTTGGGCAAAATCTGCCACAGGGCTTTGTGCTGGGCAGCCAGGTGGAGCACCTGGCAGAACTCCCAGGGCCCCCAATCTGTCATCTCTTCTGCCACAGGGACATCAAGGACATCTGAATCAGATCTCCCTGGAGACACAGTCTCCTTCCCGGGCTCCCGCAGGGAATGGAAACAGCGGCTCCTCCAACAGGAAACCCCCAGGCTCAGCTCCAGAGAACCCGAGTCCAACTTATGTGAACTTGAAGCAGACGGAGACATCATGGAGCCTCGTCTGCTCAGGCACACATGTCAACCGCCCCGTCAGGACCCCTGACGTCTGCTCCTGTTGGAATGACAGACCAGACTGTGATGGTGGGGACTTTGTTTCACCTGTGAAGCAGAATTTGCCTGGCAGAATCCCAACATTCTAAAACCAGGTCATGAGGCGACCTTCCCACACCATTCCCACCTCTCTGTCAACTGCTGAGTGCCGTCCCCAGCCCTGAACAAGCTCCGGTGCAAAACCAGCATTCGGCGGGGCTGGGCTGGACTTCTGGAGACTAGATCTGAAGTGTGGCAGCCACTGGCCAGTTCTCAGGAGGAATATCAAAATCGACTTTTAGGACCATGACTTCTGATCATGGTGGAAAGGTGATTTGTTCCAGATTCCCAGCCGAGGACAACTTTAAATGTTGCTCAGATGACTGCATGTAGACATGTGGCTGCACGTATACATGTTCACACCCCCGTGCACACACACAGAAGCACCTGCACAGCAGCCAGCAGCTTTTTGACCTACTGATTTATTTAATATACATAACGTATACATTTAATATTTACAATGTATACTTATGTAGGTCTATTTAAGGGTGATCGAGGGCACCAAGAAGCTAACCAGACAGCCACGGACCATAGTGCCAAGACCTGGGAAACAAGGACATCCAGAGACCGGTGCCCAGTACCGAGACTACTTTCTCCCGAGAGGGTCTGCCGATTCCAGAAGATACCGCAAAGGTGCAGAGTTCTGAACAACTTCTGGGACGACAAACCAGGCCCATGAGAGCAGTGTGCCCGGCACGTCTGTTGTACTCTGGGCTGGGACCCCAGAGACCCTCGTGCTAGGAATGAGTCAAGTGGAAATGAAGAATTCCGCCCAGGGATGGAAAAATCATCTCTTTCCCACAAGTGGACTCAAGCGACCTGGTTTGCCAGGTCCCCAGACACCTGCAGATGTAAACATAGGTTTCCTGGAGGAAGAGAACTTCATCCTAGGCCTCCTACTGGTTTCAGATACAGTGAGGACCCAACTCAGTCAAAATCCACCAAGTACGAGATATCGAGGAAATAGAGGGATACGAGAAATCGAACAGAACCCAGGGGGAAAAACAGCCACTAGAAACAGACCCATGGGTCTCCCTACAAAGGAATTACTCAACTTTAAAATAACTCTGCTGCTGGGATGGAGCTCAGTGGTAGAGAGCTTGCCTAGCACGCACAAGGCCCTGTGCTCAATCCCTCTCACCACAAACAAAACAAAAAGGCAAAACTATGCTTAAATATATTGATGACAAGAGGCAATTATAATAGAGAACTGGACATGACTTTTACATTATTTCTACTTCATTTTTTTTTTTTTTATGGTACTGGAGACCTCTACCACTGAGCTACATCCCCAGACCTTTTCTATTTTTATTTGGAGACAGAGTCTTGCTAAATTGCTTAGGGTCTCACTAAGTGGTTGAGGCTGGCCTTGAACCTGTGACCCTCCTTCCTCAGCCTCCTGAGTTGCTGGGAGTACAGGTGTGTGCCATGGCACCTACGGCATGTTTAATATGCAGGGTGCCACTTCCTCTGCACAAGCCGGCCTGCGAGCAAACATCAAAACAAACAAATAAAACCCTCTGGGGAAAGCCAAGAAGAGCGACTGTGCTGAATTTGAGGATGCTTGTTGGAGATGTCACATAGGCACCACCCTGACTCCCAGTGGAAATCTGTTGCTGGTTTGTAAGATGCAATTAAACACAGACACATCCTGTAATTCAGGAGACCACCGCTGTCATGAAGGCTTTGGCCTTCGAACACAGACCCATCTCCCTTTTCCCTTGTGCCCACCCAGACCTTGGCTCTGCCTTTGGTCCAGTTAAGTCGTGATGGAAAACAGCAGCCCTCGGCCAAGGGCATTCCACAGATCACGTTTAATTGTCACGACCCTCCACGGGGCTGGGGTGCCTCTGTGCTATGAAGGGAGACACCGAGGTGAGGGACCTGCAGTGCATGTTCCTGGTGCCCAGCCAGCCAGCACCAGAGCCAGGCTGGGGGCCAGGTATGGCTGCTCCTGGGCAGGCCCCCAGATGGGTGCTGCTCCCCTGCTGGTGGCTGGAATCACCCCTGGATGCCTGAAGTCAGAAGAGGCCTCGGCACTCTTGTCTCCACAACCCTCATTGAACCCCAGCTGTGTTCAGGGACCCAGCGTGAGACCTGGCTTCTGGGACCCCAGGCTGAGGCTGCCAGGGAACGGAAAGCTGCCATCTCTTCTCTCCCTTGTGGAACTCGGTTCAGCATGGCGGCGATGCTGGGGACGGGCTGGGACGGCCTCGGCCATGTACACAGGGGAGAAGGGGCAGTGCCAACTCCCGGCCACCAGGGCCCTCCTGGGAAAGCTGCTGGGGAAGACGCTGCCTCGGGAGGGGACGCAGGGAGGGGACGCAGGGAGGGGTAGGGCCAACACAAGGACTCCTACCCCGGTGCCGGCAGAGGCTCGGGCCGTAGAGGCCACTCACCCCACGGAGGTCCCTTAAGCCCAGGCTGGGGCCCAGGGCAGTGGAGGGCTCAGGGGCCACCAGGGGAGCCCAAGCCCAGACCTGGGCCGTGGTGGCCTGATTAGTTTGGTTAAGTAGAGGAGTCCCTGGGGCCAGCAAGATAAGAGTGGGGACCAGATAAAGAGGGGACAAAGGGAGGGAAGGACTTCCCTGGAGGAGGAAGGAGAGGGCTGGGGAGGGAGCAGGAGGGAATCTGGGCTGATGGGAGGTGAGGGCAAGAGGCAGGAGCTTGGAGAGGAACAGAGGGGGGCCCAGGTGGGGACAGGGCAGGGCTGGGCAGGGCTTCTGTCCCACCCAAGGGGCTGGGGAAGGGGTTCCAATAGGTGAAGAACAGGTGCTTCTTGGTGCTGGTGTATTGCAGCAAGGAGGACAAGGGCGAGACACCTGGAGGAACCTGCAGGCGCTGTATGATTTGGGAGGTGAATGAAGGGGGTTATGAGCAGAGAAGGGTGGAAGGGGAACAGGCAGGATGGGGCCAGGGAAGGTGGAATTGGGGGACAGCCCAGATCTGGGGCCAGGTTGGGCTCTAGGGCAAGAGCTACAGAAGTCAAAGTGGGGGACAGGCAGTCCCAGGGGGCACCTTGCCCTGTTAGGAAGGAAAGAGTGCTGGGGGCGGGGACCAGGGCTCCCGCCTGTCAGATCCGCTGCCGAATGGCCACAGCTGGACCCAGACGCCACCGGGTCCCCAAGCCTCCCTGCCCTCTTGGAGACCCCTGGTCCCAGCCCCTCTGCTCCCCACCCTGAGCGCCCAGCATGGAGGAATTGAGGGGAGGAGCAGCTCACCTGCTGCGTCCTACAGCTTCAGGGAGGTGACCCGGGGGATGTGGAAGAGCTGAGTCTCCTCAGAGCTGGTAGAGCTGTGGCACAGCAAAAGGAAAGTGTCCCCAGAACAGAACCCCAGCTCCCACACAGGGACAAACCCAAGTCCTGATGTTCCTGCCTCTGAGGCCCTCCAGGAGAGAGGAAGAGTTTTAAGATGCTATGCTTGGATGGATGTGTTACAGTAAGAAGGATGTGGGGCAGACATAGGGGAGGACTTCCAGGCCATGGAACTCCTTAGTGCATGTGTCTCTTCAGGCCTAGACTATGATTCTTCTCTGCCAGGTTTCTGGAGTAGGTAGGGCAGGGGATGAGGGTCCAGTGTCTATAAAGACTCCTTCCTGGTCCTCCAGTGTCCCCCCTGTCCCCTGAGATCCTGGCAGCCCCTCACCTGAGGCGTTTCCGGATGGGACGGAAGTATTTGGAGGTCTTCACAGCAAAGACGATACTCGGGATGAGGAAGAAGGTGCACCAGGCCAGGCAGAACCAGAAGGCATTCTGGAAGGGGTGTGAGGTCAGTCAGCTGGCCGGGTGGCCTTCCCTGCTGCTTTGCAGCCTCCGCACTGGCCCAGCGAGGGACGGGGACAGCTGTGACCAGCGCTGGGAGGGCTGGGAGCAGGCCCCGGGCTGGGGGCGCCGCATGGCCTGCTCACACTGCCCATCCATGGGCCTCCATGTCCACGGGCCCTGATGAGCCGGGGCACTCACCCAGGGGTCGGCCACCATGTCACACAGGATCACACGGCCATTGTCCAGGGCTGCGGAGAGGGGCTGGCAGGTGGCGATACGCTGAGTCACCTGTGTTGGCAAAGGAGGCGGGCACATGGGGAGACCCCTGCCCCTCAGGTGTGTGCCTCACATTCAGCAAGAGGTGGACAGGACATGGCTGGGGCCCTGCACACCGTACACAGATGCGGGCAGCGGCCCTGGGCAGGCACAGGGTGCAGACCCAGAGATGGAGACGCTCCCGCTCCTGCTCAGCTCCTGCCCTTGGCGCTGGTGGCTCGGCCCGTGCTAGGCCCACCCTGTGCCCAGCACTGAGCTCTGAGTGGCCCTCACTGGACAGCAACACATACATGTGCACGTGCTTGCCCACGTGGCCTTATGTGCTTGTACGCACACGTGTGTGCACAGACACACTCAGGCCGGGCCAGCCCCCTGTGGCCAGTGCAGAGCCAGGACAGCTCTCAGAGGCTGTGGCCAGCGGGCGCCTGGAAGAGGAGGTGGGCTGTGACCATGGGAGGGCAGGGGCACGGCGTGGACGGCATGTTCTAGACGGCCAGGGCCCTCCCAGCTCACCCTGGCGCTGGGCAGAGGTGGGCAGGCAGAGATCAGCCAGCAAAACCAGGCGTGCCGATGTCAGGCCTGGGGCACCTCCAAAGGACAGGGTGGCCAGCTGCTCCCCTGGGCGTGGGGGACCCTCAGCTGCTCTGAGGCCAGGCTAGGTCCAAGCCCCCACTCACCTCCTCTCTCACCCAGGCCAAGTACTGCGAGAAGTAGCTCAACTCCCGGCTCAGGAAGCAGGCACTCTCCTGCAAGAAAGAGGAGGCCCAGGCTGGCAGGAGGCCAGGAGGCCAGGAGGCCAGGAGGCCCCTGCCCCGGAGCCACTGTGAGGGTCAGGGTTAAAGGAGAGGCTGGGGTGGCCCGGTCCCCAGCCCCACTCACGTTCATCAGGATGCGGGCGGCCCTGGCAGGCAGCTCCCTCTCGAGGTCAGCGACATGGCTCAGGACGTCCGCGGTCTGCAGCTGGAGGGAGAGGAGCCTCGGCTCTGTCCCCCTCAGGGAGCAGGACAGCAGCCAGCCACTCCCCACAGTCACTGCTCACCTTAGCAGGGTGGGGTCAGCGCCGAGGACCCTGAGGCTGAGTGGTGGTCCCCAAGGTCCCCCACCCCTCCTCCTTCCCACCTCACCGCGGCCCTCCCTCCGTCTGCAGCCCACTGCCCACCCCCTGCGGCCACCTGAAGACGCGGGGCAGCGGATTCCAGGGCCCTGACGCTGAGGTTGAGCTCTGCCTGTGGGGGAGAGACCATGCTGGAGGGGGAGGGCACGAGGGGTGTATGTGGCCCTGGGGCCTCCTGCTCCTCGCTGCCCCCCCCCCCCCCCCGCCCCCCCCCACCCCCCCCCCCGCCCCCCCCCGGCAGGCCGCAGGCCCCTGGGCCTCAGGACTCACCACCAGGTTCTGCCGGGGGACAACCTTCTCCTGATAGAGATCTCTAAGCCCACGGGCCTCCATTCTCAGCTGCTGCCCCAACGAAGAATTGCCCTGAGAGTGGACAGAGACCACAATGTCCCCCACGCCCCGCAAGACAGGCTCCGCCTGAGAATACTTGACCCAGAGTCTCCATGGAGGGGAGGTGGGAGTGCTAGGATCAGAGGCAGAAGAGGAGACTTCTCAGCTCCAGGGAGACCTGTGCCGGGGTTTTAGGTCTGCCCCTAGTCAGCCACGGGACCCTTATTGGCTACGGTAGCATCTGCAGACACCAAGGGATGCTCCTTGCCTGCCCACCAAGCTAGGTGGCTGCAGGGTCTCAGAGATGTCTCAGAGAGAAGTTCCCAAACTCTAAATATCTGTGAATACAAAATGCCATTCCTTCCCCTGGAGGGCGTCTGTCCTGGGGTCCCCGCAACACCTGTCCCTGCACGTTCCACGACGGGCGTGTGCACAGGAGACACACAATATCAGGCCAGTTACCTCATCTGATCTGAGGTGACGTCAGTCCTTTTTATGGTTAAAGAAACTGAGGCTCAGAGAGGCTGAACGACTCATCCAAGGCCACACAGCCCATTGGTGGCGGAGCTTGAGTTGGAACAGATGGTGCAAAGCCTCCAGCCCAGTTTGGGGACTAGGAGCCTCAGCTGTCACTGGTGAGGGGACCCTCGGTCCCCTGCCTCTGCCCTCATCCCCTCTCCCATGCAAGCATCCTGGCCTCCTGCACCCCTGGGCCTCCTCTGCCTGCTTCTCACCTGGGCCTGGGCCAACCCCTGCAGCTCCTGGGCCAGCTGCTCCAGGTCAGTCTTCACCACAGGCCTCTGGATCTGAGGGCAGACGGGAGAGGCCACGAGGGGTGAGTGCTGAGGCCCCTGGCCACATTTCAGACATTTCCCAAGACAACCACAAAAGGAGGCGCCCTCTGGTGGAGCCCAGGCGGAGCTGCCCAGCGTGGGCTGCAGGGGGCTCAGCACCAGGAACAGCGCTGGGGGTGGGCCCAGGG